TTGTCCATTTCACTATAATTTCTTGACAAGGAGAATGATGTTTTCTTATATATCACAACCTTACCTTCATTAACATATTTAGTTATTTTATAGATAAAATTTTATAACTATTTCAATTGCATATTAGTGACAGATAAGCAAATTAAACTTTGTTGTTGTAATTGAAGTATTGCTTTTTATAAAATCTTAGTCCGTAGATTTAACTACTCCCTGTGGGATCGATATCTAGGACTCCATTAGAGCCATATATTACTTGAGTAATACGTATACTTGCGTTGACAAATTTGACTTTAACATTATTGAATATTATATTTATACATCTTAATCAAATTAGACACATCTATAAAGTCACGATCAAGTCTTTGGACGTCATTGCTGGAAATTAAATCTTCTAGTATTGCCATCAAATTCTTGTATTTGTCGATTTACAAAAAGTCGGTCAACCCTCTACATCAGCTGTAGGACCATCTAATTATGATTTTGTCTAACTTGAATATATTATGGAGAAATTAATGATTCAAGATCAGATCTTATAGCAATGCAGAACTCAATAGGTAGTATCGAAGTCATAAATGCCTATAATGATGAATATAAGCTGAAAAGAGTCCAGCACGATATTACATATGAAGAGGCGATGATTAGATTTTTAAAGGGCGATCATACAATAGAGTTTTCTACATGCCCCAGCTTCATGCCTTATGTGCATGAAGAAGAAGAAGAAGAAGAAGAAGAAGAAGAAGAAGAGGAAGAAGAGGAAGAAGAGGAAGAGGAGGATGATAAAGAGTAAAATTTTATTTACGTTTTGTTTGTTTTTATGTGTTGTTATTTGTTTTGTTTTATTGTTGATTGTATAGATTGTATATGTGGAACATTTATGTGTTTAATTTGAGGATCTATTAAATTGGTGCATGTAATAGTAAATTGTAGACTTTTATTTTTCAGCATTTTTGGCATTATTCTAAGTATCTTTGTTATGACAAATTACAATTCTTCTTGAAATGAATGAAGATTCAAAACTCTTAGACTTAATTACTACATGTTCTTATACTTTTATTTTTAACCTAAGTTATTAAAAAATTTTCCTAAGTTATTCTATTATATTATTAAAACAAATTATAGAAGTTTATAAGTTAATCTCTGTCATAAGTCATATTTTTATGTAATAAAAGAGTAACTTGAGGACAAGTAACATTTAAGTTTGGGGGATTTTGATACACCAATATAATACACTATTTTATGTATATATTTTATGCTTATTTGGTGAAATTTCCCTTTAAAGAAGGGTATTTTCATATTTTTGTTTCAGGTATATCAATTTTAGGCATTTGGAGCAAAAAGTAGCACAAAGAATAAAATTTGGAACCAAAATGGAGATTTTCGTCATTCTGGCACTAGAGGCACCATTTTTCCGAGAGCTGGCACTAGAAGAGCTAGAAACTGGTGCTAGAGGCACCATTTTACAAAAAAATAGCGCTAGAGGCGATAGAAGTGCTAGAATCTAGAAAACAGCACGAACTTCATTAGGCTAACACAAGAGGCGCAGACTGGCGCTAGAAGCGCTAAAGATGAATTAAGATGGAGTAAGCCTACTCGTGACTATTTTTAGCAGTTTTTGAAGGCTCTAAATATTTCAAACGTCCCATGGAGTGGTTCAATGCAACTAGACACTTTGGAAGGCTCTTTAATGAAGAGATATGTCTCTTGGATAAAAAATTTTATCTCTTGGTGCAAAAATGTGCGAATTATGGGGGAAAAATTGGAGGGAATTTTGAATTCCTTTTTGGGCCCTAATTAAAAAGGAGAGAAGTCTAGAGAAGAGAGGGGGTGTGAGATAGAGAGAAAGGTTTTGGCGTGAGAGATAAGAGAGGATTTTCTTCTAGGGTTGTAAGAGGAGAGGGAAGGTGAGAGATTTCTTCTTCATTACACTTCTAAGAGAGAATTGAGTGTGATTGTAAAAAGAGAAAGTTCTTAAAGGGAACTTCTAAGGATTTTCTAGAAAGAAGTATGAGATAGGTTGTGTTCTTTTCTTTCATTATTTTGTAAGCTTATTTTTATATATGAAATCCGTGTCTTGTCTTTTCCTTCTCATGAATTCTGAGTAGTCTTCTTTATCTTTCTCCTTTGTGAAGAATTACGTTTTGTGAAGAATTACTTTTGTTTTGTAAGGTTTTAAATATCAATAAATTGTGATAATTTGAACTCTGATCTTCCTTTATTTTTCAATCTGGCCAATTGAATGGTTAAAACTTGTTGAGAAAAATACAATTCAAAAGGGTCATGCTTTCTACAATAAGGTAAGAGTCATATTAAATTTCATGAGTGAGATTGCAAAAAAATAGAGAAATATACTTTGTTGGGCGCAGAATTGAAGATTTTAAGGTGACAAATTAAATTTTCCAATTTGGTCCAGTTGCTTGGAAACTAAAGCAAGATTGTTAGCCCTCAAGCTAGGGAGAAGTGAGAGCTCTAGGGTGAGAGCCAGTATTCTCTCAACTTAATCACAGATTTAGGGACCAAACTCTGGATTGGGCAATGTTCTTTATGCACTCTCAGAGGGTATAGAACAAGATTACTTCTATTTGCCACAATACATTTTTATATGTATTTTAAAATAATTTTAATTTCTTCACATTTCATAGACTCATTGTAAAGGGGAAGAATACTTTCTTAAATTTGAACTCTTTAATTCAAAACTGTGTTTAGACTTTATAAGTTTACTTTTGAGTTTGAGCAATTAGTTTAGTTAACTTAGTTCTTTCAACTGCATTTCCTTTAACGCACATTAAATTTACTTTAGATTTGTCTTGCCTACTTAAGTTTTATAGTTTGAATAATGTGTTTGATGTTATAACCATAAGAATTTCCAACTCCATGTGAGATCAATACTTAGGACTCCATTATAGCATTTTATTTCTTGAGCAATACATATACTTGAATTATTATTACGAGTTTGGTAGCTTAGAGATTTTAAAAGATAAAATTATTTATACTGAATTTATTTTTATTAGATTTGAACTACATATTTACTATTAGTGCTAGTCGACCGCCCGCATCAGCTATTTGATCATGGTTAAAATAATGCTCTGATATGATTAAACTAGTTTTGAAGAATTAAATAAGATAATAGATGCAAATTTATTTGAATATATTTGAACAATAATTGATTATGGTTTAAACATATTTTGAAGATGAATTTTATTATAATTTGAAATAGGGTCAAGACAATTATTATAAGAAGGCTCAGAAAATAAAACTTGATTTGACATCTAAAATTTTGTAGGAGCTCCATCAAAATGATCTAATTTATAAAACACAATATGGATTAAAAAAATAATACCCATATTTGTAGAAGTTACATTTGAAAGGAGAGAAGATGAAATTCATCATCATTGTTGTTTTATCATCTCGAGTGATGAAATATTGAAGTATGTAAAGTTTAAGAATGAAAGAGAGGGGGCTATGTTTGAAAGAGCTGACATTTTTTTCTATAGCAATGACATAAGGAATTTAGGGTATGCTTATTAGAAAAAAATTTAAGACATATTTCTCTAATAAATGAAATAATAATATTGAACCCTAGATTTGTCTGTAAATCATACCATAGAATATAGCTTAAATAAGGAGAGAGATATTTGAGCATTCTTAGAATACAATATTTTTTTTAGGTTTCCAACCTATTCTACAAATAGTGCTCCATTATTTATATGAGAAGAATTATTATAAAATTAAAATTATACCCCTAGTTTTATGGATTCAACTAGAGATGGTTAACCAGAGAGGGCCGATTAGAGATGGTCGAGTGGAGAGGACCAACTTAAGAGAGTCGACTAATGATCAACTAGAGAAGGCTGACTGATGAGGGCCAACTGAAAAACAACTTGAGAGGTCCGAGCGGCCAACTGGAGAGGGCCGACTGGCGAACTAGAGAGGGACAAATAACGACAAACTAGAGAGAGAAGACTGATGTGGGTCGACTAGAGAGAGTCGAGTGGAGTTGCCCTTATTCAATTGGTTTTCCAGACAATCTTATTGCTTTGAACTATGAAGTAGGATTTCAATCATAACATATTTCTTCAATCATTGTTATTATGAAGCATGTAATGTAAGCGAGTAAATATGAGTTCATGGGCTGGATTTAGATTTGGCCTTAATTTGAAACCCAATTTCGCATAAACCTAACCATTCCGTTTACTAAACGAGTTGAAGAATGATGCATAAATCCAACTTACCTACCAAACAGCTAATCTAAAAAATAGGTCAAATAACACGTTTAACATATTTTTAAACATATATAAATGAAAAAAAAATACAAATTGGACAAATAAATATATGATTGACAACGTCTTAAACTCTTATTAAATGGTAAATATGAATTGATAAGAAAATATACAAGTTGAGGAGTCTACTTGAATCCAACTCAAGAAATTAAATGAATCAAAATTTTTAAATCAAATCCAACTTAAGATGATGAAAAAATATTACATTAGGAATCCGCACGTAGAGTTACGTGCAGAGTCCAATGAAATTATGCCGTAGAGGTGATCGACCCGGTAACACAAGCGAATATTCCCCTCGTGTTATTCTGTATTATTCAAGTGTTATTGTATGTTATTCAGGTGTTATTGTGTTTTGAGAATTTCACAGCGTTATAATAACACAATAACACATGAATAACACATGAATAACACACAATAATACCTGAATAACATACAATAACACCTGAATAATATGGAATAATACGAGAGGAATATTTCCTTGTGTTATTAGGCCGATCACCTCCACGACGTAATTTCATTAGACTCCGCATGAGTTATGCGGAGTCCTGATGTAATATTTTTTATAAGATGATTTGAACTGCATGAAGCTCAAATTTTTAAGCCGTGTAGGATTATTATGGTCAGTCATTTATTCTATTGACTAAAAATAATAACACATTTTCTATTCATGAGAGCTTATATTTTATTGTCGAGTTAATGCATGCAGCAAAGACTATCCAACAACACGTGACATTTCAAAATTTCCTGAAGAAATGGGCCCCCGACCTAGAAGTCCTTCATTAATGAGCGCGATGGCCGTGCCGATATTTGAATATGGTTGCAGTTCCCGTTTCCGTTGGTCGTCATCTCTCTCTCCGACAACTTGCGCAGCTTTTTGGCGCGCAGACTTACGCCCCTCGACCTACTCTATAATTACGAAAGTGCCGTCCGCCGGCGCTGCTTCCAATGAGAGCATCTGGCTCGGAGCAGTACTGGCAGCTGCTCCGCAGGCCCAATTAATGCCGCTTCATATGCTGACTAAATTTCGCGCAATTTTCCCGGGGTCTTCCTATACCACTTTTGCCCTCTTCTTGGCTTCATATTTGGATTAGGGTTTTGAAGTGGCTACAATTTGTTGTGTGGGCAGCGTTGAAGGATTGCTCGTTGCCAAATTGTGTTCCTGTTTTTGCTGCTTTTGTTCCTGCGCTGTTCTTGAAAATTTCTTCATGCTTTTGGGAAGAAAACTCTCCCTTTAGTTCGTGTTTCAGTGATCCAAGTGTGTTATCTATCTCTTTTAAATGATTGATGTTTTTTTTTCCTTCAATTTTGTCAGAAAAAAATGCTCTGCTGCTATCATGCTCACGTAACCTATCTTGTTCCTGGATCATTTCTGCATTGTTAATGTGGTCTGCGCTCCTTTAAATTTGTGATGTTGGATTTATTGTTATTTACCAGGCACTAAATTAATTTCTTCCTTAGTTTTTGTGTTACTGTTGCAATAAAGCATTTTGCCCTTTTATTGCTTATTATTTGTACAGTAGAGCAGAAAGTACCAAAATTTTGGACGGCATAGCTAATATGTAAATCAATACATTTTAGCTTGAATGAAATGGATGAAGGCAGGCGGCATTCTGTGGATGCTACAATTTCAAAAGCTCTAGTTACTCTCAAGAGGGTTCGGTCGCTGAGGGATCCATCGACAAATTCGATGAGCAAATTTGCTACAGCATTTGATAGTGTGAACTGGGAGGTGAATTCCAGTTCTGGTACATATGTAGATTTTGACAAATTGGATAGAAACCGACCTCGAAGCAACTCTGGGTTGGAACATATTTCAAAAGTTATAGACAAGAAAAATACTACCTCCAAAAAATCTTCAATTACTAGAATTAAAAACTCACAATCTGAACTGGCTATGGCGGTTCCTCAGTCCCTCCTGGATGGTAATAAAAAGCCATTAGAACATGTAAGGGCTACGTCGAACCAGTTGGAAGAGGAAGTAGATTCATGTAGTGAGACAAATTTAGATGTCCTAGAGGAAATTAGCAGATCAAGAGTAAAAAAGCCTGGATATGGTGGTGGCAGAAGGACAAGTAATGTGATGGACGATTTAGGTATGAGAGAGGTGGGAAGCCCTTGCTTGTCAATATGTGGCTATCATACTAACTTATCAAGTAGGAGCACTATGGGGCTTTCAAATATCGATGATGCTGTTGTTGTGAATTCAAATTATGGTGGTTGTGGAATTAGTTATTGTTGGTCTAGAACACCAAAGCGTAAGGATTCAACACTCTCTTTTGGTATTGAGGGCCAAGAGCTGCCCTTGCTATCTGCTGAACTGAAGGACAGGGCTGATGGTGACATAGCTTTAATTCCAGAGAGTGCAAAAAGCTTAAGCCAAAAGTTTCAGCCAAGGTCTTTCAATGAGTTGGTCGGACTGAACGTAGTTACTGAATCCCTCATGCATTCCATAAAAAAGGGAAGAGTTGCTCCTTTCTATCTTTTTCATGGTCCTAGAGGAACTGGTAAAACTTCTACTGCAAGGATTTTTGCTGCGGCATTAAATTGCCTATCCGTTGCGGACCATAGGCCATGTGGTTCTTGTCAGGAATGTGTCTTTTTATTCTCTGGGAGAAGTAGAGATGCCAAGGAACTATGTGCTACAAAGTTAAATCATAAAGATAGGATAAAGGCATTATTAAAGGGTGCTTCTCTTGTTCCATTTACGTCACAATTTAGAGTATTCATTATTGAGGAATGCCATTTTCTAAGAGGGGAGATATGGTCTGCCATTTTGAATAATGTTGAAGAGCTTTCAAGACATACTGTTTTTGTTATGATTACATCCAAACCTGATAGTCTTCATCACACTTCAATGTCTCTGTGTCAGAGGTACCACTTTCCAAGAATAAAGGAGGATGACATTATTTGTAGGTTGCAAAAAATTTGTATGGAAGAGGGTTTTATAATTGATGAGGATGCATTGACTTTTATTTCTAATAGAGCTAATGGTTCCCTTCAAGATGCAGAAACAATGCTTGATCAGTTAGCATTGCTTGGGAAAAAAATTACGCTATCTTTGGCTCATGAGCTTGTGGGTTTTCTATATCATTTTTGTTCACATGGGTGAATTCTCATAATTCTTTCATGTCAATATGTGCATAGATTTGCTTTATTTGCAATGTACTAAAATTAGTTTTCTTCTAATTGTTTGTTGCAGATTGGGATTACTTCAGATGAAGACTTGCTTGATTTGCTTGATCTAGCATTATCTGCTGATACTAGTAACACTGTTAGAAGGGCTAGGGATCTTATGATGTCAAGGATTGATCCTATGCAACTGATATCACAACTTGCAAATCTCATTATGGACATTCTTTCTGGAAAATGCCAATCAGAATTTACCAATTCTAGCAGAAAATTCTTAGGAAAACATGCTAGTAAGATTCATTTTTATCCTATATTTTTTTTTTGAATAAATTTAATGCTCATATAATTCAATAGCATGAACAACTATGTGCTTCGCTAGATGAATTGATTTTCTTTTCTGGTTTGGTTTTTTTTTTTTTGGTTGGATGTTGTAAACAGCTTGGCTATTATCTGCTTTAGCTTAATTTACTGGCACTCTTATATGGTTTATTAAAGCTTTGTTTAGTTCATGAATTTTTTTCTCTTGCTTTGTTGAAGCAGGATGCATTAGATTAGTATGTCATGAGTTTAGATTATATATAATCAAGGAACTCGATGCACTTTCCTTTTTAAAATCATATGTATGGTGACCCTCGTGTTATTGTTTATGAGTTTTTTATGTATAGAAGTTTTATTTTAGTTCAGTGTCTTCAATTTTCGTGTGATTCATAAGTTGTATGAGTCATGTGACTCATTTATTGCTAGCTATGTGCTTGAGCTATCGTAATCATTCCGTAGAACTGATTATAACTTTAGTTTGACCACTACCTCTATATTTGATGTCCATCTCACCAACTGATTGTCATCTTCAGTTTTCCTGAACCCCCCCCCCCCCCCACCCAAAAAATAAATATGACAAGCCATTATTATACTTGGGAAACATTTTTCTTTTATGACCCTTTTTTGATAGTTACTTCAAAACCATTTAAAAACAACAAAGAGTTTTCAAACTCCACTCAATTTCTCTTTATTCAATGAATGTTGTCTCTTTCCTACCCTACCACCTCTTGTTATTTTTTTACTACCACCACTTGGGTTACTCTCGCTCTTTTCCATAATTAGTATTCTTATATGTGTTATTTTGTGCTTTATGAGATTATTGAATTAAAATTATTATTTTTTTGAATATATTATTCCTTATCATGTGGTATTTCGCTCCAAGTGAAAGGTTTCTTTAATGTGTGGTTTATGGCCCTTAGAGAAAGAATTCCAAGCAAGAAAGTAGATCAACACCACAAAGGATTGTTTGTAGAGGTTGACTTCAGTTATCCTTGACTCCGCCACTAGTTTTGTTTGCATCTACAATTTAGATTATTCTCAAAGCTTATTATCCTGTTTATTTTCTTCTAAGGTTAGTCTTTTGCTGTTTGACATAGCTACAACAATCATCAAGGTTTCTCATTATGCTTGTTATCTTATTGGAAGGAATTTGCAGAATCATTGATGTTGTCTCCATTCTTCAGCATTTGGATTTAATATGTATTTATCTTATGATAGTTTGCAGTTATCCTGCATTGTTAGTATATTGCCTGAAATAATTGTTTGTAGAGATTTGCCTAGAACAAAAAAACAATCCTTTAACTTACAAGAGAAAGATTGTATGTAAATGAGTTTTTGGGTATATTTTTTTCGTTGTCTTCTTTCCAATCTTATCTACCTGTCAATAATTGAATCTTTTTCTTGCATGTGGCATCCTAAAAGGCCAAAGTCAACTAGCATGATTGGTTTAGTTTTAATCAAATGGGCTTTAGTTGTAAAATTGCTCGGGGACTCGATCAATAACACGAAACATGATTCATTTGACTTGAGCTTGCTTCAATGACTCGATCACATCACTGTTTGGCTCAATGATGATTGACTCGTCTGAAACAACAATTAGAAAGGACTTACAACAACAACAACAACAAAGCCTTAATCCCACTACGTGGGGTCGGCTACATGAATCCTTTTTCTCCATTGCGTCCTATTTAGTGTCATATTTTCATTTAGTTCTAGTAAATTAAGATCATTTTTAATACAATAAGCCCAAGTCTTCCTAGGTCTACCTCTGCCTTTCTTAACACAAGTCGAATTTAAAACATCTACTCTCCTAATCGGATCATCTAATGGTCGACGTTTAATATGACCAAACCATCTAAGACGACTTTCTCTAATTTTGTCTGTCACAGGAGCTACACCAACCCTATCACGAATATATTCATTCCGCATTTTGTCTCTAAGTGTAAAGCCACTCATCCACCTAATCATTCTCATCTCGGCAACACTTAACTTATTATTATGCTTCTCTTTTAAAGGCCAACATTCAGCGCCATAGAGCATTGCAGGTCTCACCACCATCTTATAAAATTTTCCTTTCAGTCTTAGCCGTACTTTTCTATCACACAAAAGGCCCGAAGCATTCCTCCACTTCAACCAACCAACTTGAATTCTACTATTAACATCCCCATCTATATCACCATCGCTTTGAACAA